ACATGTGTGGAATTGATGATTAGACATTTAAATAAAAATCAATATGGGATAATTTACATTCAGAAATAATAATATGAGTTTTATTGATCAGTTACAATCAGATGGGAAATAAGACGAGTGTTTTTATAGTCATAATAAATAAGTAACTTGTTAGAATATTGTGATGCACTTGAATTGAATTGAAATAGAATTTTAAGATTATTTATTATCCTCCTCCGATTTGACTGACTGACTGGTGGTAATAATATCTTCCATGCATATTTCTGGTATTTGCATTGAGTCATTTCTCTTGCATGTGTTGTGTTGGGTGTAGATTCGAAGAACTAATCAGGATTCAATAATCAGTCTCTCGCTATCTCCACGTACCTACATTACTTCTTAGAATGTTAACCCTCTCTCACCCTATTGTGTGGTTGTGTGCTAATGCATGTAGCACCAAATTTTTCTCTAAATTGCTTATCTTCTTGGGGTCAACCATTCTTACCTTAGCTAAATTCTTATGTTCCGACAATCTGATTACCCCCAACCTAATAGTTTGACCAATGTAGTTGACATAGCTAACAGTCATTGCAGGTTATTTTGTAAATTATATAATTTTGTCTTATTGGGTCAAGAGGGTGCTTTAACCTACAGAACTAGTCTCTGAGTGAGTTTGTAGGTTTGAATACCACTCTAGTTCCTGCTTTATTAAGAATCCTACTTAGGGTCTCAGATGTCCCATCCCTCCTTATATGGTATAACAGTACATGAATTATATTCTGTCTTATTTATGTTATCAATACTAGTTTCACAGTTATTTTTGTTTTGCTATAAGCCTTCTCGATCTTCCTAGTGAATTTTATAGGATAGTTAGTTATTTAACACCGACGCCTCTTCTATCTGTTTTATTTTATCATTTAGACCTTTTTTGTACTACTTAGTTCTACTGCTCGGTATGTTAAACACTTAACTGAGCCTGCCTTAACAAGCTTAAGTGGCCGTTGAGTGATATCCAATGCTAGGCCATCGTGTAGTACCATAAATGGGAAACGATGAATTGGGCGTTCAAGAGTGACATGAAGGAGATTGCGTGAGGAGGAGATGAAATGTTATGGACAATCATGAAGCCAGTTAAATAGACTGCAGAGAACTGGATGAAGACCTATAATTCACTCGGAACCTAACAGAATGATAGTAAAACATATAATATTCTGTCTTTTGTAGAAGATGAAAATACATGGGAAATTGCTTTTTGTATACTCACCCGATTTGGTATTATGTGCAAAAAACGAATACTGAGTGGCAAAACAAAGAAGATTGCTACGGAATCTCCTGTAGATCTGCTGTTGGACATACTCCTACATACACAGCAACTCAATTTTGATACACTTTCAATTAACGGCTCTTATATAAGTTCACTTACAAGTAACTCTAGGATGGTCACAGCTGAGTTGAGGGAACGTCAGTTGACGGAGAAACAAGAGTTAGAAATTCGCAGATGTCTGGCAAGTTATGTAGAAGAGCGTATCAACTGGTTTGCCGCATTCAGACCATAATACTAGGATTTTCGTCAGAACAAGCTTGATGAAGCGCCAAGCCAACAATTAATGGATCACTAACTAAAATGCTGACGCCATTCTAGGTTTCCTTTCCTTCTCACCGCTTTGTTGTCAACTTGCTAAACTACAGTTATCCTGAGTCTCTAGTAATTTAATCTATCGTTCCCAAACATAAAAACGATATTTCACTAAGTTTAAAGGTTCGGCAATGTCGGCTTAGCTCTTTCAAATAGAAATTTGAGGTTTTAAGGCATACACATTTTTATGTCATAATAAAAGACTGTTCGAACGACTGGTCTAGAGTAACTTTCACACACACACACACACACGCATACAGAGTGATTATGTCAGAGTGACACTAATAGTATTGATTTTACAAGGCATATTCGCGAGTTTCAGCTGTGGTGGAAAATACAGGTTGTCTTATTCGCATTTGTTAAATAACTAAAAGTGACATTATAAGATTAAAGTTGATGGGACCTAGAATTAAATAACAAGGTATAAATACATTCCTGTTGGTTCGTCTTTGACAAAAGCCATAATATCTCTTCGTATTCTTCTCATATGACTATTCTTCTAGGTCACAGTGTCATTTTTCGTCCCCTTATTTTCTCCACTTTTAAATATTAAAACTTATGGACAAATCAGTCAATGCCAAGTCCTAACGTGTCAATGTCTATATATGTAGATTGGTAATAATAGTAAATCTATTGAAAACTTTATCACCCTATTCAATCGTATTCATCCGAATATCCAAGTGACTTCCGAACTCGATTCGAACAGAAAAAATCGGTTTCCTGAACTATTCAGAGATCTATTTTTCGTAAACAGACATGAAGTGGACAATATCTTCATTTTACCAGTTTTGTTCCTACCCAGTATAAACGTTCCCTAGTGAAATGTTTGCCTTCAAGGGTCCGAAAAATATGCACGAGTGACACATTGATGAATCAGTTTTGACATATACATTTAGTTTTATTAGCTAACGGTTATCCGGAGAGCTTTATCACATGTCACAGTAAAGAAAAACCACATCTCGAAAAGACAGCTTCTGTACCAAAGAAAGCTATCTATCTTTATTAACCTACCATTCAAGGGCGACCAGATTATGCAGGTGACAGCTAGCTCAAAGACTTCGGTCAGCCATCAAGTGCATATTCTACGCCACATCTCTTTTTCTCATTTACCGAACATTTTCGATCCCTGTACCTACGATTAAAGGACGAAATTCTGTGGACTATACTTCAAACTGTATCTACAAGTTCACCTGCAGCTGTGGTGACACACTTGTATAGGTAGAACTAACAGAATGTTCCGATGTCGTGGCCAAAAAGAACATGTTCCAAAAATGGCTACTAAATCATACAGAAAATCCCAATGCGATTAATCTGACTAGAAATCCATTGTCATCATCCATTGCAAAACACTTATTAATGTCAGGTGACAAAATCAATATTAATGACGGCTTCACAATTATTTCACATAACTGTAATTCAAGGTTATTGAAGGTGTGATGGAAGCACTTTGGGGGATTAATCACCCATACTGCCTAAACTGTGTGTACAAAGGAACACAATAGACTTCAATCTTCGCCTACCCTGGACTACATGACCTATTTAAATATGATTGGTCATTAGTATGTACTTTTGTTCTTTTTATTTAACTGAGTAATTGTCATGATCTTTATTTTATTATTATTGTTAACCATGTTAGTTGTAAGCGGTTGCAAAGAAACTACGAAATGACGATATCATCTCGCGGCGAAATTTGTCTTCTAAATGCTTTATTCAAATATACAAAATCCATCTGAATCGTCTGAAATCGGTATAGAGATTCATGTCATTGACAGCAAGATAAAAGGTCATGATTCTAATCGACACTAAAGTTAAGTCATCGCGTCTAAATGGTCCACAAATATGGCAAGTGTCTGTTATATCTGCGCCGCTAATTGTAATAACGGCAAATATCAAAGGACAAAGGCTGATCTGTGACTGCAAGCTGCTGTATTGTACATTTATTAGGAAAACGACACATCGTAATTCATACGTTTTTAACACAATAAAGTCGGCTCACAGCCATGAGAAATGATTGATCACACAATGGATCACAATATGTGTGAGAAAGGATGATATACTATTTTATGCGAGATCCTATCGCCTCCCCCCTTAAAATGTGTAGGACTGTCTTTAATCTGTTTTTGGAGGAGTTTTGATTTTTCGACCAAAACAACTCATGCTGAAGATTACTTATTTGAGGCAGAAGCACTGGGTACGTTGTGATTAGGCAGCAGAAAACTATCTAAAATTCCCCTGATTCTTCCCTCCCACTTCACTCTTATGAAAACAAGCTTAGCGGCATCGAGGAAGAGATCATCTTGTCCATAGGATTGGAGCTGATACTGAGTTGACGTTTAAATGGAGAACTAGCTTAACATTCGGCTTCTGAGTCAAAGATGCTTGCCACAACCAAGATTTTCCTGGAGGACTGGAGTATGCTTTTGACACGAGTGTCACAACACAGATGTACGTGGAGCATAACTCGAAATGAAATCATCTGATGAAGACAACGCGTTAGAACACACCGAATTTAATGGAACGTTTATGAGATTCAGCTTTTCTAACCAGCCATGACTGAGTAAATTCAAATCGTGGTAGTTTTTGAGATAACATACACCGTGAAATCGATGGATTAATTAAGTAACTCCATTACAAGATTCGCCCTCACCAACATTTGTCCTCTTTACTCGACAGTGAAGATCATCTGGCTCGCTAAAAACGACAAACTACAAGGAATTCTTATTTGTTGTTGGATTAATTTTCAGTCCCAGTTGATTAACTGAGCTGGATCAAACTGCTCGATCTCAGTCGCCAAGTCGCTTTCTAGGATAGGCTCTTCGACAATGTCTTAGGATTACCGTGAAGTTATTTCGATCGATAGTGACTAACAATGCCATCTAGGATGCTTGCCCCGTTGAGATTGAGACTTGAACCCTGAACCCATCGTTTTAAATATCAAAGTATTATTCACTGGCCCACAGTGAGAACACTATAACGCACTGCGTATAATGCAGGTACATCCAACTGTAGAGTGCCAAATAAGTCGAAATGCACACCCTGGATTCCACTGCTAGTCACCATCATTCAAAATAACTTCAAGGAACTCTAAGAGCGAATCCCTCAACAATCTATTGCACCAAACAAACGGGCTAAAGGAAAAGAAAACAGATTAGATAAGCACACATACACGCCAGACAGCCTTTTCGAGTGGAGGCCAACTTAGAAGCAATGAGCTGGATGTCGATGAAAATGGGGCTTATACACAACTGTGGAACCAGTCGAATAAAAGGACAGTGTTCCGAGTACCATGTGTCCCTGAGGTCATATATATATGTATATTGCATTCGGAGGACTCTTAATTCACTCCTTCAAAAGCCTCTGAACAAAATCAAACAATGCCTTATAAGGTAATTAAAATTATATATATTGTATTCAGAAATCAATTAAAATTCCATTCATAATTATGGGGTTTCTGTTGTTTTAACACACATACACATATATGTGGCGATAAAATCAACCAAAGCGATTAAACAACTAATAAATGAGAATGAGGGTTTTGATGTAAAGGTAGGCTGGAAACAAAACATTAAGGAGTAGGCAGATAAAAAACAAGAAAAAAAAAGAATTATTAGCGAACATGAGGGTGCTGGGGGGTAGAGATTAGGGAGATTAGGAGCAGGTGACGAAGAAAGATGAGTTGACAATAACGACAACAATAGCAACAAGCACAATTTAGCGTGAATAAAATGCGCTCAGCTCTTTAGAAAGAAACAAAAAGCGTATTCGTGAGTATTTACTCAGGTTATTGGTGGTGTGGAGTGAGTGGTTGGATGGGGTCAGGAGTGGACTAAAGATGATTCGTTTTAGCAGTTAACAGACAAATATATATAGGCCAAAGAAAAACTAGTTGAGAGAGAAACAAAAATGGTAATTCTTTGTTAAATCATACTTATTCCAAAGAGAAGTACAATATTATTCAATATAAAAGCGGCTCAAGTGTTTGCATTTTGGAAAGAACATAAATCATGCATGGTTATATATATATATTCATAGTAATTGAAACTAAAAATATTGACGAAAATCGAAATAATAATAATAATAATAAAAGCAGGAATATTCATATGCTCATTAACGGGTAACTGAATACTTCGTGTCGCTTAAAAAGTAGATTTAAGTAGCATAATTCAATAAATATATAATGATTAAGCAAGATTCCGAAAGAGAGAGAGAAAGAAAGAGAACTCACTTTGCAGAAAGAACTCTAGAAAAGCCTAAAGTTAAAATATATTACGAGGATAAGCAAAGCACCTGACAAATTTCGACTCAAAGTCATTCATTTGGACTGCTCAGGTATTGAAACCTTCTCCGATGGCAGTAATAATAATAATCATAGCATCAGTAGTATTAGAATATACCATCAATAATTATTACATTACTGAGAAAATATCTAAGGAAATTAAATAATTTAACGTGTTTTTCATATACTGTTTATATTAATAATAATAGTAGTAGTAGTGGTAGTGCTCACTCGTGAAGCATAACAATGTTCGCGTGTGTGTTTTTGTGTGAAACAGACAGTCATGGTTATGTCTAATGGTTTACTTCACCATTCAACATGTTGTTGTTTTTTCATGTATTCGACTTTTACTACTATATATCAATAGTAAGTAGACTGTTGATGTGTATGTATATTTTTTTTGTTTTTTAAATAACATTCACAGTGAATGGACTTCCAGGGACATGTTGATCACCCCATTTAATCATAATTTGATGACGACCACGATCACGTACAGTATAATTAATCGCATATTGACCATGTCCCAAGTGTTTTATATTCACTTCTTCACAGGCAGCAACTGGTCCAGAAACACCAACGTAGAGAACATCATGACCTAGAGAAAACAGGGAAAAGAAATAAAAAGGCATGAGTGATGAAGGTATGTATTGGGCTTTATTTATTCTGATGACTGTTTAAGATTTAACGGTCGACTGATGTATATTGCTTTGGTGGAATTAATAGTGTTCTCTGAGCTGGTTGTTTTATTTGCGGAGATTTCGTCGTCCCTCTGCTGGAAAACATCCCCTTCAGCTCAATATTTAGCATAAAGTGAAATGATTTAAATTTCTTCATGAATGATATAATTGCATCTCCCCCGTAACCATCTTTACTTATGTGCATTAGTCATTTTCTATTGACTTGGATTTTAAGCTTTCTCGTCACATGATTTACTTTTTATTAATTGCTGGTATATTTCGTCTATATATTAACGTGTTTGTTAATTGCATATTCGTTTGAGTACCAGGCTTCTAGGAATTCTCTGACTGCACTTTTGGTGTTTTGCTGTCTGTCTAAAATTTCGATATTATCACAATCAAATTTATGTCCATAATTATCTATATGCATTTATATAAAAGAGTAATATATATCGTGTCTTTTCACAGCTGATTTGTGTTCCTGGATTCTGATTCGAAGGGGACGCCCACTTTGTTGACCGATGTAATGCCTGTAACAGTTCATACAAATTATTTTGTAAATGGTATTAATTTTATCTCCTTTTTCTGTTGGATCTTTCGGTTTGCATAATATCGAATTAACCGATTTGACTGGTTTGTGTGGTAAATCTGTATCAAACGGTTTCAGTATTCTAGCTGTTATTTCAGAGATATATTTCATGTATGGTAGATGAATTTTCTTGTGTTCTTTGATGATGGCTCCTTGTTGGTGTTGTGATTCGATTTTAAACACTTTTTGATGAAATTTTGTGAATAACCATTTTTTTTTAAAAACCTTTTGTAGGTATTTTTCTTCCATTCTTCTCAACTCTGGAGTGCGACACTGTGTTCGAACTCTTTTAAACAATGTCTGCACACAGTTTCGTTTGTGAGTGAGTAATTGGATTATTGCTAGCATAGTTGAGTATTTGATCTGTGTGCATTGATTTTCTATATACTTGTGTTTCTAAATTTTCTGTGTTGGTTCTCCTAAGTTTGATTGTGATAATGTCGAAATTTTAGACAGACAGCAAAACACCAAAAGTGCAGTCAGGGAATTCCTAGAAGCCTGGTACTCAAACGAATATGCAATTAACAAACACGTTAATATAGACGAAATATACCAGCAATTAATAAAAAGTAAATCATGTGACGAGAAGGCTTAAAATCCAAGTCAATAGAAAATGACTAATGCACATAAGTAAAGATGGTTACGGGGGAGATGCAATTATATCATTCATGAAGAAATTTAAATCATTTCACTTTATGCTAAATATTGGGCTGAAGGAGGATGTTGTCTAGCAGAGGGACGACGAAATCTCCGCAAGTAAAACAACCTGCTCAGAGAACACTACTAATTGCAAATCATCCATCTGAGGTACAAATATCCTCTACTAGTGCTCCAATGGTCCAGTGGAAGAATGCTCTCCAACAGTAGCTAACTACGCCTGTGCGAAGTTCGGTTTTCTTCTAGGCCAATGACATACTCCTAAACCTCACTCATTAGTACTGCTGCTCACTGAACCATATGAACCAGCCTAAGGCTTCCTCATGATTGTCTTCTATGATCTAACATCATTTCAAAATGGAATACGATGGTGAGTCACACAGTTTTTGAGAACTTGACTGACAAGACAATAATGAAAGAAGAAGAACATTCAGTAACGCTAAGAATAGTGTTCTCCAGTCGCTCACTGATCTGCAGAAGCGTTAAGGCCAATATCCCTTATCGTACCACTTCTGTGTGGATATATCGTATCACCTACTGCCGTGAAGTCAGGTACATCGGTCGTTCGACGCGCACCTTGTCTAAGAGGATTAAAGAACTCTGCTCGAGCATGATTGCGAAAAGGCAATAATGGTGCTATAAGGAGTGCGATAATTAAACCCCACCTGGTTAACACTGATCATACCATCTCAACAAACGCCTCCTGCTTCAAAGTAATCTACGGAGTGATAAAATAACCTACAAAAGGCAATACAATTTCGTCTTCTTTGTATCGCTGAAGGTCTGGCCATTCACATAGAAAACCCGGAGCTGTGCGTACAAAATAGAGAATTACTCAACCACTTCTACTTTCATGGTAACAACTTTGTTAATTTTGATGACTTAATTTTGTTTCTTTGCCTGTTTCTTTAATTGCTCATAATTCTTATATTCATTTAGAAATCTTACGTAATTTCGTATTCTCTACTTTGTTCTTGTGTGCATCCTGAGTAAAATTCACTCATCAAACTCACTTATCACACAACTTCTTTTTAACAAGTGTTTGTGACAACTCTCACCTTTGTTACTACCTTAATTTCATTAACACCTAATTTTCTCGACTGGTTTTGTATTACGTAACTCCAATTACCAATCTTCACCTGTTCAGTTAAAATAACCATAACCAATTGTAATTTTGTTTGACAAACTTAATGTGCACATAAATACAAAATAACACGTATATATTTGCCACTGTACAACTAAAAAAATGAATCTGCAGCAAAGAGACTCTTCGTTGAACACTATGTGTTTTGTTTTCATTAATTCCAGGATGGAGATTATCCAGGAATTAAAACGTGACAAGGCAATGTCAGCATACATGACCACTCCATTAGAGTTCTACACTAGATGAGTCGTAAGTCCGAAAGCCTTAGTGATAGTGACTTTAACTAGAGCTCTGGGTGATACAGTTTCCAACGGACATCATACCCTTCAAGTTACACAAGATGAGTATTGTTGACGAGTGCCAATTAGTGCGAAACTGTATCGAAGCACTTCATCTTATTCATTACCTCTACACTCCTAAAGTCGACTATTAGGTGATTCGTTTTAACATGCTGTTCAACTTACAGACATCAAAGCAGCAGTCTACAAGCAAAATTAAGTATTACATCACTGGTGTCTTTCAGCAGACATTAATCAGTGTGACTAACATCCTGACATTTTATGAAGTTTCCTTCTACAATGTTGTCCTGAGTAGCAACTACAAGTTTGACTAAGTATACATAGCATAGTAGAGCAAAAATATTCATTCAGACATCTATGAAACATAAAATCATTGAGCAAGGAATATCCTTTTCGGTAAATTCCTCCTCTTCTGGCTCTACAATTATATATATGTATATATACATAGAATATTCTAGACTAGCAGTCAATAACAGGATTAGCTTTGTTTTTCAAATAATATCAATTTGCAAAGTAAGATCACAATACAATTACAGTTTACTAAAGATGCTTAAATTATAAAATAATAAAATTATAATACTGAATAGAACGTCAAATAAAATTTAGGAAATTTCTACAAAAATTGAGGATCATTCAAACCTAGATGGCCAAGGTAAGGACAGTGTCTAAACTGGCTTCTTTTAGACACACAAATTAGGCTTCTTAATGTGTATCCCAATGGCCAAACTCAGCAATATTTAGTAAACGAACTCTTAAGGTGAAGTTAAGATTTGTTGGTATGCGGCAAACGACTTTGAAAGCCACATCGTTGGCATCAATCTTGTATTCTGCTTGTATCCACAAGATGAGATAGAATAGCGCTACGCATAGATTTTGCCTGTCCGTTACATAACGACTATGCAGGTTGATGTTCGGAAATTCGACGAGAAACACGCCTAATTGTACGGCCTATGTAACTGGCTCACTGCACAGGAGCAGTTAAATTGGTGGATACACATGGAAGAGGCGAAATTAGTCATTTTATCTTTTATTCCAGAACGCAAAATATTCGTGGTTTTGAAGACACAGTGCAATTCAGCAGCAGGGAATGCTCTTTTTACCGCATTTCTAAGGCGTTGTGTTAGTATCTCACTGATGTTGTCCCCGAAGAACTGAATTTATAAGAATAAGGCCTTTTTAGGAACTGTTGCCACTTTGGGTTGCTTTGATTTTAGATTCTTATTCTTATCAAACACTTTTCTGGATAACCATTCTCACTTAGCAACTGTTTAATATTATTAAGTTCTTTGTCAAGGCATTCATCCGGGCAGATTGCTCTTGCTCTGTGAACAAAGTGCTCTATCAGATTGCTCTTGTATTTCAAGGGCACGAAGCTGAGAAAATGAGTATACTGACCAGTTAGTTTATGAAGGTCTTCTATAAACACTTCTTCTTATTGTTCCATCCTATTTTCTTGTCATAAGGACGTCTAAAAGTGAAGTACTGGAGTCCTTTTCTTTAATAGTAAAATTCATTTATCTTACTTTGCAAATTGATATTATTTGAAAAACAAAGCTAATCCTGTTATTGACTACTATTGTAGAATATTCTATGTATATATACATATATATAATTGTAGAGCCAGAAGAGGAGGAATTTACCGAAAAGGATATTCTTTGCTCAATGATTTTATGTTTCATAGATGTCTGAATGAATATTTTTGCTCTACTATGCTATGTATACTTAGTCAAACTTGTGTTGCTACTCAGGACAACATTGTAGAAGGAAACTTCATAAAATGTCAGGATGTTAGTTACACTGATTAATGTCTGCTGAAAGACACCAGTGATGTAATACTTAATTTTGCTTGTAGACTGCTGCTTTGATGTCTGTAAGTTGAACAGCATGTTAAAACGAATCACCTAATAGTCGACTTTAGGAGTGTAGAGGTAATCAATAGGAAGAAGTGCCTGAATTTAGTTTCTTGTCAAGTGACACCAAATGCCAGGTTGACCATCGAATGCAATCTGAATGGGGAACGACGAGTTAGGCATCCGAAAGTGACTTGGAAGAAACTGTATGAGACGGGAATGTAAGCTTGCTAGTAATCGAGGAGCCAGCAATAGGAAAGACTGCTGAGAATAGAGTGAAGTCGTGATATGCCGATGAATTCCTTTGCTCCATTTCTGAACTCAAGGGACAAACAACAATAACAGTAATAATAATAATAATCAATATAGTAATTCGTAAAATATACCATTCACTCATCAACTACCTGCTTGTGTTGCATTCACTGTAAATGTGTTAACTTCATTTAAATACGCCTGTTGTAAACCTGGTCCAGAGCATGTAACACGATCAGGTCTTGATGGGCCAATATTAGAATGTGGTCCATTGACAAGACGTCCACCGGTTTCTACAACAACATGTGTTGTATCAGCAGTGAAAGTATCATGTACTGCATCACCAGTAACAATTGCCTAAAAACAATTCGATAAAAGGAAAGTGTTTTTTTAAAAATACTTCTAATTTTATATAATTTTCGATTGATATTAGTGCATAACCTTAAAATAGCTTTGCTGTCTTCACACATTCACAGCACTATTCAACATAATCCATTTTTTGTAAGGGATGAAGTGTCATTGGTTGTCAGATGTTTACACTGCTTGCCATTGGTGATTGATGTTGTGATGATTGGTGATTAGAGTAGGTCTCGTTAGTCCACAAGTTTCATATCGCCTGCAATCTGATAGGTCGTATTGTAGCAACAGAAGACATGGTCCAGGCAACAGATCGTTTATTTACGAAATCAACACATATTTATAGATTTTCATGTACATTATTATAGATTATTGTTAGCAGAAAAACACAGTCTTCTGATTGGTTGTTTCTCGCTGAAAGTTAATCTTACATCTCTTTGTGGCTGTTTCTTGAATGTGTCAGATCATCTATATGCTAACTGTATCCGCCTACTCAAAGTCTTTGTTCCACTTTTTTTCACGGCCAGTATTCGGGAGATAAATATTGACGTGAATTAATGTCTACCAATTTTGGCTAGCAGCCAGCTCTCACCATAGTATTACTGATCATATCAAATAATAAAACAGTGAAATGTAATACCTTTTTCTGTGTATGATGCTATATACTACTGACTAATTGATATGAATAGTTCCACACCACTCACCTTGACCATTTTTGCTTACCAGCAAGTCAAACTGAAGTGACGCGAATATCAGACAGTTGTTTCGCTCTTATGGTGGCGAAGTAGCCAGCCAGAATCCCAGCGGTATTATCTAATTCAGCTATCTCAGTTGAATCAAAAAGGGTACATCAAACGAGCGAAACTACAGTCTTGTATTCAGGTTACTTCGATCTGGCTAGCAAGTAATACTGATAGAGGTGTTAATGGGATATAACCACTCAAAGCAGTTAATCATTAATAATCATTTTATTCAACTTGGCATTCCGAGAAGAGCACAGAGCTTCAAGCTTTGAAGTTGCCTTAGGGATGGTGTTGTTTTTAAGAGGTGGTGAAGTTTTCGACACCACGACTAAATTTTCATTTTTTGGCGGATATACTACCGGCTGGTAAGCTTGGCAGCTTTAGGAGTAAGTCAGCCAGGAATTCAATGCACGCTGACCTCCAGTGTGCGTGGCTGACAAGAATTCTAGCATTAGTCTATCGAAACACTAATCAGTAATATACAGTGTGTTGTATCACCTTTGCGTTTAGCACACATAAAAGCTAATGCAATTAAAAGACTTCAGCCCAACATATGCATACAGAAAGAGAGTGTGACTAATCTCTTACTAGCCTAGTAACTGTAATTGTTTTATTCTATTACGTAACATTACACTGAATCTTGATTTGATTTTCAGTCAGTGAGTTGAACTCACTATTAAGGTACGAAATCTACTCAATTAGATTATTTTATCTATTTTATAGTTTTACTTTACTATTCACCCCTATCCTCCTGAACTCTTCACCACAATGTGTATAAATCCACTCGGTTGTTCTATCTTGTATTTTGTCTCTAGTCCATCCTTGTTTCCATGCGAAATCAGAACTCTACTCCTTTGTCTAATTACTATATAAATAGTTACTCTTTTAACACTAAGTAATTGTCTACCTACATCATCTTTAAAAGTGCGTTGCTTATACTTTCCATCTATAACTTGAAATCATTGTAAAAAGTATGTTAAGAAGACATTTTGTGACTTATAATTGATTTATTTGGGATGTGCGCAGTTGAAGAGACAGAATCCACGAAATAAAACGAGCTCGTATTATCCTACAAACATGTCTTTTGTTTCTCTATTCAAATTAATCAAGGCGACCGGCTGTATAATTTTTTATTATTTTTGATTACAGCTTGATTCCACACCGTATTTTTGGTACAGGTATGGAATTTTCAGCATGTGATATCAGTAGTCCAAATTTAGCAGACCGGCCAATTGATATCAGGTGTGCGTCAGCAGGAGATCGAACCCCGGACCATGTGTATGATCGGTGAGAATCTTAACTGCTGCACTGATAAGATAAATATGCAAGTTTTCTATAAAGAATAAAGTCTCCCATCTTCATCAAGTAGTAACATGTTACATTATCAGGGTAAAGTGGTAAACAGGTCGAAGAAAAATTTTAATTGTGCTGATGTTTTATGCTGTTACAGCAGTGTACAACCCACAGTCTTATCAGAGAGTAAGCTAAGGATCGACAAGTCAAGTGGCGATGTATTTATGCTCCAGTCATTGATGAGTTTGAATCCAATCACCTATGAATCTTAATTCTTGTAAAGCTGGAGAAATGATACAGCTGAAATATTGAATTATAAACATGTTTCGAAATCTCTGGTGTTTTCGTCAATGGTTTCCTTTAATCACTGACGATTCATGAAGGTCGATAATTATTGAAAGAAGCACATTTATTGTTAATACAGTTTAAATAAGAACTTACTTTAAATGGTGAACCAATAATATGCTGAGCATCACCATATTTAATACTAATCATATATTCACCAGGTGATAATGGCATATAAGTGAAATCATAACCATCAGGACGTTCGGTACAATTCAACTGAACTTTACTTGGACCATCAACAGTAACTGATAATGCACCACTACCAGCATGTGCTGTATTCACAAAGAATCGATTACGCTCACCTATATAGAAAATAAGAAGCGTGTATATGAACAAAATTAAAAGTGGGATATTCATTATGTAATGATTCAGTTTGAATCTAATCTGTAATAATTAGATAAAACGAAAGCATTGCGTACTTTGGAAGGAATAAAAGACTCTGGGATATCTGGACTTCGCTGATGATTTTTTGCCTAATGTCAAACTCGAAGATCTAGTAGTGTAAACCAACAAATTGGTGCAGGAGTCAGTTGAGATAAGACTTCACATGAAATTTGTGATTATAGCGGTGTTAATGAAAACAAAACACGTAGATCGGCGAAAAGTCTCTTTTCGGCGAAGGACCCTTGACAGTCAAGGAACTCAGTGGGTTTCTACGGTACTCTATCAAGCTTGCTGTGGGGAAAGCAAAAGTTGTTTTTTTTTTTGAGGATTGTGTCACTAATCATCAGTATCCAAAGTGGTTCTGGAAAGCACTTCGACGCAATCATGTATATCCAAATAAGAAGTCTCTTTGACGACACGCAATGAATTGTGCTGGTTCTGTCAGATCACGTATGCCCGAATTGCAGCGGAATATTAATCAGAGGTTCTATACCGCATACGAAAGGAGACTCTTCGTTATCTACGTGTTTTTTTTCATTAATGCCTGGATGGGGATTATCCATGAATGATAAGGGTGATCAAGATAACCAACCAGCCACAAAAAAAACCAGTTCCCATCAATGGCTGGAAACTAAAGGAAGATTTGTCTTACGCTTACCTTATCTAGGAAATATCGTCTCAAACTCACCAGGCATGGAAGACGACATTGAAGCCAGCTGAGGTCAGAAAATCAGGAGAGATCTTCATCAATATAATCAGTGTGTGCGTCCGTGGGACAGCAGTTAGGACTCTCGCCGACCATGCACATGGTCCACGGTTCGATCATCAGCCGACGCAATCCTTTACCTCACTTATCCAGTAATAAAACTGGTAAGGAGGGAAGGTTGGGCATGGGGCTAGCAACCTCATCCTGTAAAAATAAACACTCCTACAGAAACTTCAAGCCTCCAGCTTGAAGTGGCCCTATGTTCCACTGGGAACATGAAGGAAATAAAATAAAAATGAAAAAGTGTGGAAATCTATCACTCCAAGATGTGGAACAAAATCCAGACCTTCAACACTAATTTCACGTCGGTGATTCCATATGTGGTTCACAGGCTTGATGCGTCACGGAAATCATTTTAAACAGGCCCTAAACCTTCACTAACAGCTGCTTTTGCTTCCTACTGAGAAGACATTTGAGCGACATCACGTCGTAAGTAACAAGCTGGCAGAAGAAGCATTAAAGATAGGACTACAGGTGAACATAGAGAAGACAGCAGTATGTGATGAAGATTTCTGGCCAACAGCAGCAGCAACAACAACAGACAACAATCAGCATAAATGGGAGGAGTCTGAAAGAAACAACCTCCTTCACCTGCCTAACTGGGAAGCACTGTTTCAACTACAGGAGGACAGGACTGACGAGGATATCAAAGCCAGAATCGGAAAAGCTAGACAAGCTTTCATTACTCTTAAGTCTGTGTGGAGGTCAACAGCAATCAGCATCAAAAATAACATCCGGATTTTCAACTCCAATGTGAAGTCAGTGCTACTATATGGATCAGAGACTTGGCGAGTCATAGAGCATCTCAAACAAACTTCAGACCTTCATAAACGGTTGTCTTCGCTCAACACTCACGATCAGATGGCATCAGCAACAGGGATCTCTGGTAATGAGCGAACCAACTAGGAACCGATTGTGAAACAAATAGGCAGGAAGAAATGGAGATGGATAGGCCATACTCTGAGGAAACCATCAAGTGACATCACTAGACAAGCCCTCGAGTGGGACCCGAAAAAGAAGTGGCAAGTTGGTCTTCAGTGCTAGGGTGATATGAAGGAGGTCATGTGAAGAGAAGATGAAATCATGTGGGATAGACGTGAAGCAGGGTGAAAACTTTAGCAGAGAAGCGAACGCAACGGAGACGTTTGGCTGAAGCCCTATTTTCCTCTAGGAATTAAAGGATACAATAATAATAATAACATCGTAAGTAAGCACTTGAGTGGGACTTCAACGGGGAACGATGGGATGGATGTCAGTTCACAGGCGTTATGGGGGAGATTATATGTAGCAGAAACAGAAGATTGTCTTTAGTTGTTGAAAAACAATTTGAAAAAGCACGAACAGCAGGGAGGTGTCAGTGTGCTCGTGGAGTCCTATATTCTACGATCAGTGAGTAGCTTTTTTCACACCTGAATTGATTGACCTCAACAGTTGTGAATTCTAAATAACAGAACTTCAAAAGTAATAACACGCTCTCCCTTTCAATGCCATCTCACAGCATTTAGTTCGAACACGGTGAAAGTTGTCAGTGCTTAACAAAATAAAGTCACAAACTAAGGTGAAAGAGTATCTACAGACCTCTGGTGAACAATAATTTTAAATGGAGACCATTTTATAGTTAAATGAGAAACCTTAAAGTTTGTTTACAAGTAAGCAGACCATGAAACTTGATCCGCAAACAGATAAACAGTGAATAATCCTTTATTGGTGATATGGTAATCGATAGGCAACCTGGAAATTGACCAATCAAATTTTGGCCCACGTAAAATAACGCCCAATATTTTATTGATCATGATTACAGACTGACTGTCATATCCTTGGTGATATTTTGAACCATACATTATAATTGCATTCTTGTTTAAGTTGTGAGGGCTGGTGGAGACTAGTAACTGTCGTATAATGCTGTTGGCGTAGTCCAGTTGCGGTATTCGTGATTAATGTGTCTAAATCCAGCATCCGTGTCTCTATTTTATTCTGTCTCAATCTCACAGCTATTGAGCGATCAAGTTGCTTGTTCATAAAAGAAATGATGAAATGTTTGTCAGACAAATATTATTTATTTTCTCACTCTATATCTGTTAGTCTGTTATTCTAAGTAATTGAAATATATCAACCGCATATATGAGTGTTATTGTAATGATAACAAATACCTGTCTTTCTTAAACTGTGAGGATCTGAAGAGAACTTTATTGTAAGTAAAATATTTTGGGATTATTTCACACCCTCGTATCTAATTTACATTAAAAACACTAAACTACTTTGCAATATTTAAGTAGTTTGCATTGCTGCGTAAAATATTATGATGTTTCTAAGATTGACATGGAGGTCATTAGAAGACGTTAGCTATAGGCACTTGTACTCTGAGGATATAATAGTGTTCCCACTGGAATTAAAACCAAGTGACATCATTGAATGTATTATATAACCATAAATTCATATCCTGCAAAATTCCTTCTAATATGTGGAAACTATTTAAGGAAATCACTGGTGGTAAGCAGATAAACAATATTCCATATTCTTTTGATGTATGTACTCCTAATAAATCTTTTATTTACTCTCCCTCAAATGCCATGCTTCCCAGCATCCATTGTGTTAATAATAGCCCATTTTCAGGTTTTAACACAAATGATGTTCAAGTTTTACTTTTATTATTTCTATTATATTTATGGTCCTGTTACTTCTTTGTTTTACTCTCATAATTGCAAACACTAACTTATCTCCATGACGGCTGTAATCTTTGTTTTTCCCTTCACCATATCATGTAAACAGAACATTATATTCAATATTTTCAAACATGTTAGGATTTCTATACCACATTGCCAATACTGTGTGAAAGAAGCCCACGGAAATTTTCACTTGTATTATTATTATTACCCTAGCTGTTATCACTATTATTGCTATTTTCATTTTATATGTTGCATGTTTTTGACACTACCTCTATTGTAAATGTGGAAAATTTTCTGTGTGATTAATTTTTATTTATAATTTGAGGAAATTAGATGCAATATTGTGATGAATGCTGTATCACAAGTACTGATTTTGGAATAAAGTAAATCATTATTATTATTATTAAAACATCACAAAAGTATCAGGAAGGCCAGGAGGTCGCCAGATCCACCTTTTGTGTAGTCGGTTTCAGCTATCATTTGCTAGAATTAATTTTGTATCTCCTTTACGTTCCCATTGGAACATAGGGCTTCTAGCTACAGGCAGTGGTGTTTATTTTTTACGGGATGAGGTTGCTATAAACTCATGCCCAAATCTTCCCTCTTCACTCGTCTTATTATTGGCTCAGTGAGGTAAATAAGTGTGTCAGTGGCCGGGAATGAATCCCCGGACCATATGAGGCGTGGTTATCGAGCGTTATACTTCTGTTCCAACGACGCACATCAAGGTAATTTAGGCCAACTAAAAATGGGGAAGATATGTTTGCGTGTATCTACAAGGAAAGAATGTTTCTTATTTGTGTTACTTATGCAAAACGGTCAACACAAAGTAAATAAAGTAGATTTTTATGTGCAAAAATTTTGTAGTCAAATGAAGGTTGAGGTTTCTGAGTGCTGAATTCATCAAATAAACCGCAAATACTACCAAAATAATGAATGATAATGCCAAACAATTATTGAGTCTTATTTGAAAACCAACTTACCAACTCGTCCATAGCTTAAACCTTCACCACTAGCTGTCACTGGACCTGTTTCATCTTGTCCTACTAGAACACGGAACGGGCTGCCAGGTATTGGACGTTCATCCATCAGCACATGAACTAAATGTGCACCAGTCTCTTGAGGTGTAAAGCGTACAGCGTGTTGATCAACATCAACTTGGTGAACAAATGCATCTGTTTGTAAACCAGATGGTGCGACAACATAGGCTCTCATTCTACCTCCCATTCCTGAATAGTTGATTGTGAATGCTGTTGGACGTCCGATCTGGAAGAGAGAGAGAGATAAAGAAAGAAGAATTAAGATTTCGAAACATCCTAATGTAATGCCTCCGTTCGAATGTCATAATGATCCAAAGTATTTAACGGTTGGTAAGATTGTCCCTTAAATTCGTATCATGCAAGAGAGGTGAGAAATCTCGCAATCTACATAGTCTGGGTTCGATTCCTCGCGACTAAAGCACTCCTACACCACGCCTAGTTTGTTTACTAGCCAGTAATAACCCTAGTAAAGAGAGAGGAGGGCAACCTTGTCTCATTAAAAGAACATCACGGCTACTGATAGTTAAAAGCGTGAATCTTGCAGGCATATGTTCCACTAGGAGTGCAATTAATGATATTCTCCACGTGTTCTCGTCGGTGAAAACGACCTCTATACTTCTTCAAAAAGTATTATGGCAAACCTGACTTATAGAATTCAGTCTGCACCAAAGAAAGGACTAGACACGTCACACTAGTTACTAGTGTCCAACCAAACTACCCATTACAGCTCAGTGGTAACGTCTCTGACTGCACCACTGGGTGACGCGGGTTCGAATTTCAGAATGGACATGAGTTCCTTTGAGGTTGCAGATACGCCTTGCTGACTGACTGGTGAGTGCCAACTAGCACGAAACCCAGGTCAAGCAAGGCAATTAATATTACCCTCTGTATCGGTTATTTCACTCGATATATCTTACAATGAGATGATGAATCGATTGGAGTATATTCTATATAACCGTAATCACATCATGTATTATATAATATATGATGGAACTGTTGTCTTGTAACAACAGTGGTGATGTTACCACATTTTCGGTGGCACATATATATATATATATATATATATATATATATAATTGAAACAAAGTACAAAATTTCCCTAATCTTGTAGTGGCAAGTCCGTTAACAATAATTGGTAAATATAAGCATGTGAACCGTGGTCATAATTAACCAAGATAATTAATACAACAACTAAAGGGTGGAAATAGTTTCAAAAATTAAACCAGTGGGTTACACAATACATAATTTTGGAATAGCAAACAACAACTCCTGCCCTATGAGCTATAAGCGGGGATTAGTAAGGACACTTTTTACGACAGGGCCAGGAAGTTATGTTCGCCTAACAAGGTAGAAAAAGAATTAAGCTTTGTTGAAAAATACCTTAAGGAAATCAGGTATCCATAAGGATTTACCCTAAAGTACAGCAAAGAAAAAGATGAGAAAGAGAAGTATCCAACAGTTGAAAAGAAGAAAGTGCCCCCCCCATACAAAGGAGAAACAGTATCGCAAAAGATTGAAAAGAGAATGAAAGGAGCAATAAAAAGATGTTTCCCTGCAGCTAATCTGGCGACATTATACAGTACTACATGCTCCATAAGCCAATCGAAACTGGATAAGTACCCTGCTAATGTTACCTCCAACTGCATTTATAAATTTACGTGCACCTCCGGCAGACAGAAGGGCTTCTATCCGGTTTTCAGAGCATATTCCGAGAAAATTATGCTTAAAAGGAAGCAGATATTTACTAAGTGCAATTTCTAGAAGACACCTTGTGGATATGGACCATTTTGTTGAGATTTCCAAATCCTTCAAAAATATTAAACATACAAAGGACAGCGAATCTACTACGATTTACTGCTGAAGCAATTACAGCAATCAAACGTCTCAGACCAAACTTATGCACACAGAAAGAGAGTTTAGTCAAAGTCTAACTCCCTTGGTAACCATATCTCCTTCATTATAGTGATTAGTCATACACATCAGTGGGCTCAGCTCACTAAACAAGTTTTCAAATTGATGAACTTTGACCTACTTGAGTTGCCATATTGACACTGTTTATTAGATTTTTCTGTTTTCTGTCTTCTCTCACCCCACTTTTTTATATTTCTTCACAGTCTGATAGTATATAAATTGATGGTAACTCAAACTATAAACTGTAATGCTTATATTCCAAATGCGTTCACATTATAATGTTTTCTCTATTACCTTTCAAACAATGAAGTATGAAATGTTATTATTTATAACCGTTGTAATTCCAGGTAGTTTGCATTTAGCTGATGAGAACCTGTGAAATAGAATGATGATGCATCATTTTATACTGTAAATCTGGTCTTTCTTTCTCTAGCGAAATTTATCAAGGGAACCGCATGTATGGAATTAGAGAATCACTGAAAGTCACCAGGGAGTACTGCCAGACATCTCTTTCATTCCAGTTTTTGGGATCATCGTCAGTATGCATCCATCAACAGGAGGTTCAAACCCAGGACCTTCCGGTTACAGATCAAGTTGGATCGTATAACATTCAGCCATCCGGGCTCGAATCAATGGCCAGTCCATGAATTCTAACTTCTACCAATTTGTGGTGATTTTAGCGTGACCACCAACCAATGTCATCGGTAGGAACTCTATCCTGACTTCCGACTGGATGGACCCCACTAGTCACGAACGACTTCCCACTAGGACTCCAGGAAACTCCATCACTTGTAGCCAGTCACTAGAGAGCAGCATCACGTCAATTTTCAAAAATTAGTCTTTCTAGGGATTCTATCTGTTCCCACCGTTGAAGCTGGTTTGACAGTATCCCCAACTGGTTTCCAATGCTTCTCTAACTGATAACAATCCGTAGTCCAACTTCAAACAAACAAAATCCTTGCAAAAGCCAATTCTTGAAAATAAATGAGTCTTCAGGTTGATTATGTAATGAGTAATTAAGCGTGAAGTAGTCAGAATAATAAAATCATTAGTAAAATGCATGGAATACAACGAATGCTTACCTGAAGACCACGATCTTGGACAGTAGCAAAACTCAGCAATTTAGTATCAGGTGTATAGAATGTTCTCTCCATTGCTTCATTTATAATAACACGATACGGTGAATTCGGTATATGGTCATCATTAAAACGAATAGAGCATAAATACTCGCCCGGTTCAGTTACACGATATGAGACACCACATGAACCATCTTTTCGATCCTTAAAATGATAATCAGAAATGAATAGGTTATGTTTTTCTCCAAAATGTTCAAAAATTAGACAAATACACATAAATATACAATTTCTATTCAGGAATTAGGAGTTTACTGTGTAGGCAAAACTGTTGAAAATCATTTCATATAGATAGGAACATAGGGCTTCAGCCACACGTCTCCATTGATTTCCCTTCTCTATTAACGTTTTCACCTGACTCCACGTCTGCCCATATGCTTTCATCTCCTCCTCAAATGACGTCCTCCATGTCACCCTCGCACTGACGACCAACTAACTCACCGCTTCCCATTTGGGTCCCACTCGAGTGACGGTCTGGCGTGTGATGTCACTCACTTGATGGTTTGTTTTCTCAGAGTATGACCAATCCACCTCCAATTCTCCCGGCATATTTCTTGCATAATCGGTTCCTGCTGGGTTGTTTCACTCACTGCCAGAGATCCTGTTGCCGATCTTTTCTGGTCGGTTATCTGACCTTGGTTGAGTAATATGCGAAGACAGCTGTTGATGAAAGTCTGTAATTTGTTCAAAGTGGCCTTCGTGGCACTCAATGCAAGTCTCTGATCCGCATAGAGCAGCCCTGACTTCACATGACCTCCTCATCCATGTCACTCTTGGCTAACCAACTCGCCGCTAGGATTAAATGAACTGATGTAGTGCAGTGAATCAATTCTAAATACTGACGCCAGCTCGGCATCGAACTTGCGACTGGCTCTATACAGGAAGTTAACCGAAGTTCCAAGTCAGAAATGGTGGGTTCCACTGAATCAGGTGTGAAGAAAAATACTCGCCAAAGACATTGCTGGTATGACCACATATCGCCAGTGTGATGTATTTAAAACTCATTCGCTATCGAGCTGTTTTCCAATGGTTGGATGTTATATGAGCTCACCTTGTAATCTGAAGATCTTAGTTTCTATTCTTGGTGCACCAAGCTGGGATACAACTCCTGTCCAATATCTTCAGGCATTCCTTGATTCTTTAATTGACATCATCTCACGACAAAACTCGAAATTAATCAGATACCTGTAAACCAACTCTCGGAAACTCAACTCAGTTGATTGATATCGTTAACGTCATACTTTTTCAAATGCTTCCGCATCTCTATCATGTCATTACATACAATGTTACTATAATAACTTCCTTCAAGAAGCACTTCACTGAACAATATTCCCTACAAACCAATACTTGAATATTAATGAGGTGCTTACTGGTGACTGGCCCTATTCAGGTAGGTACTTACCTGTGGTTCTAGTAAGAAATCGTGACCAGTAGGGTGCAGCACGTCGGGTGTGAGGACAAATACTCGCCGAAGACATTGGCTAGCGGTTGCGCTATATCATGAATTGGCAGAAGTTGGGCTACTGAATGGGATCCCAGTGGCTTAATGGTCTACGAGCTAGCTTGCCTTGTAACCAGAAGGTCCTGGGTTCGAACCGGAGGGTGGTGGATGCGTACTGGTGAAGAATTTCAAACTAGGAGGAAACAGCTGTCCAGTATTCCCAGTTGGTTTTCAAGGGGTTCTCTAACTAATTTCAGCTCATGGTGAAATCCCGTAACCAATCAAGCAAATCCTTACAAACCAATACTTGAATATTCCTTTCTTTAGGAACAGCTGTCCCTCGCTGTCTGCGGTATGGATAGTAGAGAAATAATAATTGCCAACAAATTCGCATAAACTCACCAAGCCTTCCTTAACTCTTTCTAACGAGAATTAAAGCGGTTTGGAGTGTATTAGATGTCTAAGCTGAGTTTCTCCGTGTACATCGGTAGTTACGTCGACTATAAAATAGAGAAATAGCCGATCGGTGACAAACAATACTAAATTAATTATGATTGGTTTTCAACTAATACTACTCATCAAAATCAAGTAGTATATACATAATTTGACAAAATAATACTATTGACTAACCTCAAAATCTATTTCCGCTTTACTTGGTCCTTCTATAGCAATTGACAAACCGCCTGCACCTGCTTCTCTAGTATAAATACTAAAATCATTTGGTGAATAAGTTAAACCATGTTGTAATCCTGGACCAGCAGCGTGTACTTTATGTGCTCCACCTTCTGTGATAGGACCAACAGTAAATTGGAATGGACTTCCTAAATACATACACGGTGGATAGATGAGAAGAATGAAAGATTTATTTATTTGCATATTCAATCTAGGCAGATTTGTGATGCTCTAATTGATTTTTATTTTTAATTCTGTAAAAATTTACTCACCAGAAATGTGTGATCCACGATGACGTACTGAAACAGTGTGTACACCCATTTCTTGAGGTACAAATTTGATGGTATAGTTCACATCGTCTGTAGCTAATACATCACATCTTTGAGTGACTCCTGATGGACTGGTGACATTCGCTGTTAAATCACGAATATTTATTCCTGTATTGGATAAAAATAAAGAAGAAGAAAAGGGAAATAGGAATGACAGAACAAGGAATATAGGACAGTAGTTATGTTTGAATAAGGCAAATTTCTCGAGATGATATCACCATTTCGTAGTTTCTTTACAACCGCCTTACAACTAACATAACTAACAATAATAAAATAAAGTTCATGACAATTACTAAGCTACCTCAGTCGAGGTAGCGTCATCGATCATGTAGAGAATAAGATGTGTAGTTCGCCAGCATTCAAAGTTCTTTGAACTGATTTTCTTAATTTCTTTGTAATTATCTCACTTGATATATTACCCTTGAATTGTAATCGTAAATAAAGATGAAGCACCTAGACTAGCCACTTAAAATTGTATCTACCAATTCAACTGCGCTTGTGGAGGAGAGAGTTATATTGGCCGTTGCTCTAGGAACTTGATTTTTCGTACTCGATAGGGAACATCTTCCACTATGGCTAAGTAAAGGTGTAGTAAAACACCCCAACAGTTGAATGTTAGACCATCTGGTGCAAACCGGCCACAAAGCCAACCAGCCAGCGTGGAAGAATCCTTATATATCATCTACTGGGTACCAAATAAATTGCCAAAATCATCGAAGCACTGCATGCTTCAAACAGCAGAGGCTATATTGCAATTCGCCTCAAACAACCAGTGCTCTGTGTTCAAACGAAGCAAGTCCAGCTAGCCGCTACTACTGACGTGGTAAGCCTTCAGTAGAGACTATAAATTCATGAATTTGTGATATTATCTTTCCTAATTTTTCTCACATTCAGTGTATGGTGGTCATGTTGATGCTACTGAGCTGTAATCTGTTGATATTATTGATTCGATGTTATTTAAACACCATTAATGTTGTTCATAATAACACTAATTCATTCATTCACTACAATGTATATATATATATATATATAACTGCAGAGCCTGATGAAGAAGGGGTTATCGAAAATAGTACTCTTTGTATACAATTGGTGGATGGTGGCTGACGAGCTGACGAGTCCCAAATAGGACGAAATGCGCATCCTGGTTTCCACTGCTAGCCACCATCCACCAATTGTATACAAATCAAATCCCCAGACATCGTCGAAGCATCTGCACAAGAAGCCAACATGTCAACCTGAGACCGAGCACTTCGGTCCAATCAATCGACGGGAAAATCAAAAATTCAATTCAATAAGAGTACTCTTTGTTCAGTATCCATTCTTTTGAAATGTTAACTTTAGACGATGCCATCCTAGAGGTTGTAGTCTGTTGATGTCCCATATCTAAAAGAACCTTATAGTATTTTTTGTACAGAGGAAATAAAGACTAATATCATTTCCTTTTGTAAAATATTATCATCGGCCATAATCAGCGTCTAAACTCTTTTTGTTAGGCTACAGACTAATTTTCTTTGCTAGTTGTCATTAACAATGTTATCAGATCCGCTGATACATGCTTAAGACTAGGTGCGATTATATATATATATATATATATATATATATATATATATATCTGTCTGTCTGTTTTCGACATAGAACTTTGCACAAATGTGCGGAAGTTCAAGTCGCCACATTCCGTGTAGCACGCGAAGCAAGAGAAGAAAGTACAAGAAAAGCATAATAGAAACAGTGAGCAGAGGTGTGAGACAAAGGAGTAATAAAGAAATACAAAACAGTTTCATTGAAGATCATAAGTCACAGGGAGTGGATGCATCTGCGCCACTGAGAACGATTTTGAGCCATGTCACCAATTGTTTCCAACCATAGATTTTTACCGTCCCGAGGACCCCAGCCTGGAAGTCTACACCTTCCTACGTGGCTAAGACCAACTGTTGTGGATTTCATTGACTGATGCCAAGTTTTTGTTTGACCGCCGCTAGCTTTTTTCCAGCCTGACCCTATATCCGCTAACATAGCTCGTCGAGGGAGGCGATGACTTGGCATACGTAACACATGTCCTAACCATCTCAGTCGATGTAGCTTCACGACTTCGTCGATTGATTTCCCCTGTTTACCTAGAACTCTACGCCTAACCTCCATGTTGCTCACCTTATTATGCCACTTTACACGGGAAATAGAAGGCAGGCACCTATGATCAAAGGCAGCTAGTCTTTTCATGTCTTCCACTCTCAGTGGCCAGGTCTCACAACCATAAAGGAGGACGGAGCGGACTGATGAGCAGTACACCCGCCCTTTGGTCGATAGTCGAACATCTCGTCTACGCCAGAGTCGGCGTAAACTAACAAATGCGAAACGAGCCCCTTGTATTCGTGCTGAGATTTCGTCAGAGATCAGCCCGTTGGGGCTGATGGTACTTCCCAAATAAGTGAAGCGGTCAACGTGCTCTACCACTTCGCTTCCTATTTCTAAACTAGGAGCCAGCGTAGTCCAGTCCTGTAACATCATCTTGCATTTGGCGGGAGCGAATCGCATGCCAAACATATATATATATATGTAAATAACACACACTGATGTCAGCTCATGATGCAATCCTCCATCCAATCAAACAAAATCTCTACAATTTCTTTATTTATTTTATTTTTTTCTTTTTTTTCTTTTTGATTTACAGCTTGATTCCACACCGTATTTTTGGTACAAGTATGGAATTTTCACCATGGACATCGGTAGCCCAAATTTTGCAGGCCGACCATAGATATCAGGTGTGCGCCGGCGTGGGCTCGAACCCCGGACCATGTGCATGGTCGGCGAGAGTCCTAACCACTGTGCCACCGACGCATAACCAATACTTGGAAATTAATCTGATGATCACTAGCGACTGGCCCTATTCAGGCAGTTAACCTGGGGTTCTAGTGGGAAGCCATTACCAGTAGGGTGCAGCAGGTCAAAGATGAGGCAGTAACTCATCGATAAAGACATTACGAAGTGGTCGCGCTATGTTGTGAATTGGCAGAAGTTAGAATTCAAGAACCATTGGATCGGGCCGCAGTGGCTCAATTGGCCTACGAGCTCGCCTTGTAACTAGAAGGTCCTGGGTTTGAGCCCCCTATAATGGGTGCGTACTGATGAACAGTCGTAAACTAGGACGAACCAGCTGTCCAGTACTCGCAGGTTTTCCAATGGTACTCTAACTGATGTCAGCTCATGATGAAATCCTCCTTGCAATCTAACATACACAGATTAATAAAGAATCACTTCTTATTTTTTTATTAATTTTTTTTATTATTTTTGATTACACCTTCATTCCACACTGTATTTTTGGTACAAGTATGGAATTTTCAGCATGTGAAATCGGTAGCCCAAATTTTGCAGGTCGATTATTGATATCAGGTGTGCGTCGGCAGGGTATAGAATCTCGGACCATGTGCATAGTCGGCGAGAATCCTAACCACTATGCCACCGACGCACTTCTTCTAACATGGGTCTGAAACGTGGTGTGACAGCGTCACGAAAAGCATTTCCAACAGCAAGCTGTAGACTTTTATGAACAGCTGCTTTCACTGAATCCTTAACCCAAAAATACAGATGGCCGATAATTTATTAGCAATGAAAAAAACCTCTGGGAACGAACTAACTAATCAAGAACCCATTGGTCAACAAATATGCCGGAGGGAATGCGGATAGATTGGACAAATACTGAGGAGACCTGCAGATGACATTTTGTGACAGGCTAGCGCATTTAAGTGAAACACCCCCCCTGATTACGGGGAGAAACGAGTTCGGAGTCTGACGGCAACATAGAGGAGATCGTGTAAGCACGAGAAAGAAGTCTATGGGCACTCATGGAGCCAGACTACAGAGTACAGGACAAAATGGGGACTTGGTGTTGAAGTCCTATACTCCTCTTGAAACCTATGGGAGTAACAATAATAATAATAATAAATATAAAATCCGTTGAAAACAGACCGCAAAGGCAGTTGATTTTCTAATCATAAAAAGTCCCAATAAATCATATTTATAGAATAATTTATGGTGAGAGTATCTAAGAGTGGTGATTGGATGATGACTAAAGATGGGGAAGTGATCATCTAGATCGTGGTGGAGAATCGAACCACCGTCCAACACTCTATCAATAGAGCTGACAGACCTGGTCACAATCACCCCTGATAGTGGGTGCCCATCTGCTGTCTGAATAAATCATACTCAACTGTGCGTTTCTTCATCACCCAAGCTGCTTAACTAAGTCTTCTCCTGATAAACCTAATCACATCAAATTAGAAGCAGAAGAGCACGCAATTAAATCATGGTGAGAATATTTCCCTGTATGTAAAATCACCTCCGAAAATCATTGAGAATGCAATATTTTCAGAGGTGAACAACATTCTTACTGAATTCATGTATAACTTGTAGACAACTAAATAAGTTTTCAAGAGTTTGGTTTGTAAGGATTAGATTTGTTGTTTTTTCACGAGTTTGACCATGGATTGATATCAGTTAGAGAAACATTGAAAACAAGCAGAGAGTAATGGACAGCTGTTTCTTCCTAGTTCGGGAATCTAGTGAGAAGTTGTGATCAATGAGGTCCAATAAGTCGGAAGTGAGGATGGAGTTCCTGCCGATGATATTGGTTGGTGGTCACGCTAACATCACCACAAATTGGTAGAAGTTAGAATTCATGGGCTGGCCACTGAGTCGCGTGCCGGTGGCTGAATGTTATACGATCCAGTTTGTCTTGTAACTGGAAGGTCCTGGGGTTCGAACAGTGGTGGTGGATGCGTACTGTCGATGACTCCCGAACTAAATTGAAACAGATATCCAGTACTGTCTGGTTTTCAATGATTCTCTAACTGATATCAATCCATAGTCAAACTCATTAAAACAAACAAGTAACAGAAAAGAGTTTCAGCTCAGGTAGATGGATTCGGTATGAATGGGTTCTCTCTGAGTTGTTTGGTTTAATTTTAAAGCTTTAAACTGAACCCATTTGAATACTTCATCGATGATATAGTTATCTCTCTTGGCAATCTTCATCGTGATTAATTGTCGATTTGTATGTGTATAAGTTATTTAATCGACATGGAATTTGACTTTTCTGTCATGTGACTTATTCTCTGTCCGTTGATCGCAGATTCGTTGACTTATCAGGAATCTAGGAAAACCCTGATATTTTCGGTTTTTCCATTATTTCAAATTTCTACATTTCCCCAGTTGATATATGTCTTGTCTTTGGACAACTAGTTCTTGGACACAGAGAAGTATGTTTCACCCAGTCTGATCAATACAGTGCCTTTCGCATTTCATGTAATTTATTTTGTAGGTAGTATTAGTCTGTTATTTTCATGATAACTAGGGTGATCTGTCTAGTCCTTTCCCTGGTGCAAACTGATATCTATCAGTCAGGTTTGCAATGTAGCTACCATTCTAGATAGTTCGCCATCACAATGTGCATTGATTTCATGATATTAGATGGTTGAGGGCAATCGGTCACAGAAAGCCTTGCCTGACCTAGATTTTGTGCTAGTTCACCCTCATAAGTCAGCAATACGTATCTGCAACCTTTAAGGAACTCATTTCCCCTCTGAGATTCGAAACCGCGTCACCCAGTGAGTTTTGAAGTCAGAGAAGTTACCACTGAGATAGCTATTTAAGCTTGCGATTGACCTCCTGTAGACATGTGATCGATATTCTTGACTGGACACTGGTCAGTGACTAAAGTAATATGTCTAGTCCTTTGTTTGGTGCAGACGGAATTCTATCAGTCACGTTGGTACTGTACAGTTTTGAGGTGAATTTATGAAAAATAGATCTGTTTGTTCCTAAAATGATTAAGAAACATGAGTTATGAGTAAAAATCCTCCAACAATTATCTTCAGTAACCCAATATCATCTACAGTGAATACGAAGACTACAAGAAATGTTGAAAGGTTACTTATAACGTCATTTTTTTTGGTGAAGATGAGCCTCATTGGCTTAACAACTTGGCTTTTATTCAGTAGGCTCCGGGTTCGAATCCCAACCTAATTACTTCACTTTGAACAGCTTTCCATTGACACAATAATCCACGCTTAATAAGGCTGGAAATAATTTAACCTACCTGGAATTTTTAAATTCAATTCACACTGACTACCAACATAGGTGGCATCAGCAAGTTCCCGTTGTCGAGTAATTCTTTCCATCATTCTAAGCGAAGGTTCTCCACCGATATGCACAACAAAAGGACTTCCTGGTACTGGTTGATCAGCATATTTAACATTGATAATATATGTTCCAGGTTCTGTTGGCCGATAAGTGACAAGACATGTGCCATCTTGATTATCATGACATTCGATATCTGCTTTACTAGGACCTTCAATTGATAGATTTAAACCGCCATAACCTTGAAGTAAGAAAAAAAGTATTACACAGAGTTACAATGGAATTTTAGCTCCTAGAATGAAATGTACACATTTTTGACATTGACAGAATAATAATCCAGCTGTCCTTACTAAAACATAGGATTAGCAAACTTGACATTCACTATACTCCAACAGAGTCGTCTTTCAAGATCATCTACAAGGTGAGGGAGGCTAAATGGTACAAAGGCCATCAGGTTTCGGCTTTTGTGTATGGTGGAGGCGCTGGTAATTCGTCAATACAACCCCGAACTCTGTATGCAGGAAAAGTCTGTCTAGCTCTTATTCTACCTTTGTCTTAACCTCGTCACCAGTCCTTCCCTGTAATAAAAAATTTTGATGTTTTTTTTTCTTCTTTAATTTTACTTTTAGTTTGCTTTCGCTTTAATAATTAATTCCCTATTATCACTCTCATATGTTCCTATTGTACATGTTCACACCCTCTTCACACTTGTTAAATGACACTCAATTACCTTTATGTTCACTAACAATTTTAACCTTATCAAACTTCTATCTTTGTTCCGTTGGATACCACATAATTTACAACTTTTATTTTTTACTTCTAAAGTCACTTATGAGTAATTATATCGATTATGTGACCCCTTATTATTCAATAATAGACCACTATATATTTTGGTAAGTATAAATACGACTGTAAAGCCAGACTCTGAAGATGATTTTGTCGATAAAGAAAACCTTTTTTCGCTGAATTCATCTTTTATATTCAGTTTATTCCTTACAGTAGTCCTACAGGAGGTCAGAACTGGGTGATACAACCTCTAATTTTCCAAGAGATATCAGCTTCCTTCGAGGCATCAGCTATTCGTTGTTGTTGAAGACTGCCAACAAACACAAAGTGTAAGTTAAGGAGGGTTGCCTCTGGATTGCCTCCAACCATCCCGATAGCGACTGACTTAGCTTGATAACAACCAAGTTGCAAGCCTAAATGATAGAATACAGTGACACTAGGGTTCGAATAAATCTGCTGAAGAAGCTGTGGCTTACACAGCGGAACGTTCAGAAAACAGATCTTGTTTAAAGAAGACAATTGCAGCAAAGAAATTTTTCTTTTCGACGAAGTCATCATCTAAGCTGTACATTCGAATGGATGAGAAAGTTCCAGAATAATTTCCGGTTTTGATTTTCTTAGACACGCTAGGATTAAATTAAACAATTTATAATGATTCAATCTGACTCGGCGCCCAATTTATTCCGGGAAGTTCGTAACACCTACCGGTCTGGAAACTTATTATCTTAAGGAGTCCTTAAAATAAAACAACAATATCCTTGAACAATTTTGTTTTGCACACAAAAGCAAGCTTAAACAACTTACCAGCATTTCTTGTATCTACAGTGAATTGACAATTTTGATTCGCCATACCTTCACGTAGACCAGTACCATAGATTCGAACTTTTGATGCGTTGCCAATTTCACTTTCACCAACATAAATTTTAAATGGACTATTAGCAATATGTCTGCCATTACGAAATACATTGACAAAATGTTCACCAATTTCATGTGGAGTAAATGAAATGCCTATTTAAAAAAAAAGTAAAAAGACAAGTAATCATAAGAGGAGAATGTGCTTTTGATAATTAAAATATACAGAAAAAATTGAAACAGTTGGTTTCATTCCATAGTATAATGCTCACTTGAGCCTTTGAAGGGAAGAGAGGAGTAAGACAGGGCTGTATACTATCACTCACTGATGACCACCTTCGCCATTGGTTTTGATGAACTGGATCACGCGGAGACAATGGGAATTGAGAAAACATGCATACCTTAGACAGAAAAAAATAAACCTAGGATGTCTGAACTTCACAAATAATTATTGTATGTGCTTCTTACAAACTTGAAGGTTTGCAGGCGGAAACTATCACTCCTTCAGAGACACGCTCTGTAGACTAAAAGAACCCGGTGGATCCAGTGAAACTAAATAATATACTTTACAAAATACCTTTCCGTGACTGTGAGCTAAGTCAACTACATAGGTTGGACTAGTAGATCGGGAGTAGTCATGTCATCAGAACACAAGAATTTATCTAAGGTTAGAATGATTGATACCATGAAGATAAGTAATTTAGGAAAGAACTAAGCAATCTCACTGTATGCACTAACACACAACCACACGATAAGGTGGGTGGAAGAGAGTCGGAATTCTAAAGAGTAATATACACAGGTGGAGAGAAAGGGATTGGCCACTGAATCCTGCCAAGTTCATCGAGTCTACACCAGTCATATCAGAGGATAATCAAATAATGTTAAAATGTATCCGGTTCACATTATAAAATTCTAACAAGTTACTTATTTTTACCGTAAAAAGCATCTTATTTCCCATCTTAATGTATTTTATTGATAACATTAATATTATTTCCTAATGTACCGACTCACAGATTCCTGTTCGGGTTACCATTCGAGCGATGGTCTTGTGTGTGATGTCACTTACTCACTTGATGGTTTGTCTTCTCAGAGTATCACTAATCCACCTCAATTTCTTCTCGCATATTTGTTGCACAATCAGTTCCTGCTGGGTTGGTTCGCCCATTGCCAGAGATCTCTTTGCTGATCTTTTCCTACCGGCTATCTGATCTGTTGATGAAGGTCTGTGGTTTGTTCGAAATGCCTTCCTGATGCGCAGTGCAAGTCTCTGATATATACAGTGGCACTGACCTCACATTGGAGTTGAAAATCCGGATCTTGTTTGTTACGTTAAGTGCTGTTGATCTGAATACCCACTTGATAGTAATGAAAGCTTGTCTCCTTTTCCCCATTATCACTCTGATATCCTCATCAGTTCTGTCCGACTGTAGTTGAAACAATGCTTGCCACATAGGAAGGGGGGTTTCTTCCTTCAGATTTCTCCCCCCCTTTTTGCCGGCTGATTGTTGTCTGTTGTTGTTGTTGCTGTTGGCCAGGAATCTTCATCACCTGCCTTTGTTTTCTCTATGTTCACCTGAAGTCCTATTTTCTGTGGATGCTTCTTATACCGCCAACTTGTTGCTTTTCATTTGCATATCTTCCAGTTTTTAGGAAATCAGACGAATATATGTAATCGGTGAAGTCTAGATCCTCCAAGTTTTTTGTGTTGGTAATATTAATAATTAGCTAGCTTGATGTTCTGTGTTACTTCAACCCTTCACCAGTCACTAGTCAGTTCATGTGATCTTCACGAAAATCTTGTATTTGTTACCATTATTATTACTTCCATGGGCCTAGGATGAAACATAGGACTCGAACACTAGTTTTTCATTTTATCCTGTTCTCTGCTGTCCTTTCAGGTTGACTCCAGGATTACTCATGAGCCTTCATTCCCGCCTCACATGATCTCTGCAGTATCAATCATTCTTGACCTTACGCCCAACTCGTCATTACCCATTCATATTCTACTCGAAGGTCTAGCGTATAATTTCACTTATGTCCAATCTATCCCCATTCGCCTTCGCGAAATTATTGGGTAATTACTCCTTAGAATGGTTCATTACCAGAGTTCTTTTGTGCATTACTTAAAAAGTATATTAAATATTCCCATAGTAAAACAACACATTTAAGCGAACAATATTGTGGTTTCAATTAGATCTCATCAGGCTTAACTCTAATATACATAAGACTTTACAAAAAATTCAAATATAAACCAATCATGGTGTTTTGTCTACAGGATAATAAGATGGCGAATATAAACTGTGCAATTAGTCATAATAGTAATAATGATAATGATAATAATAATAACGGTTTTTATCGATAATAAGGATGAAAAAGTGAGGCAATCTGTGACAACACGAAAATGAAAAAACAGTATGATTAAACAACAAATAATTGTTCAGATAGAAGTAGTCGATAAAGGCTAGTACAAACAAATGAACCGATTAAGTAATGCTAGACTGATTGTTAGGGAAGTAAATGAGACAGTTTTTAATGAAGATGTGATAAGATTAAGGGTGATGATAATAAAGAGGTTGAAAATATAAATAAGGGGTGGTGTTGGAATCATTAATTGGTTATGTCTTAATAGGCCAACAGGGAGGGATAATGGCTGTACGAACTCCTTTTGAATGCATAGTTTAGGTTTAATAGTTCGAATGCCTATCGCCTGCCTCAGCTGTGTGCTAGCAGTAGACGAATACGAAGTCTATTGCAAGAAAGATTCGGTGGGATACGATGAATTACTTTGAAAGCTCTCGTTTTCTCCACTACATGACCACTATCAATTAAATGTGACAGGATTGAACTACGAATTGTTTTTGTCTGTCCTTTGTCAAACCACGATGGGAAATGTTCAGTAACAAGCTGGCTGGCTAAGCTGTCTAGTAGTACGCCCAACATAAATGTCACCGCAGGTGCAGTTGAATTGATAAATGCACATAAATGTGGCAAAACTATCAAGCTTATCCTTCGTTTGCGTCCCAATCATTCGTTGGCTAGAGAATGACAAACATAGGTGTACTGTCTAAAATATCCTTTGTATACTCATTGAAAGTCTTTGGAATAAAATCTCACTTGATAAGTCACCATTATATTGTAACTTAATAAATAGAGGTTTATTTCGTGCAGTTAGAGTCTTAAGTTTTTTCTCTGATGTTTCCGTATGTTTCTTTATGAAACTAATCGGATAGCCCATCTCCATCAAGGAATCGTGAATATATTCAAATTCCTTTTGTAAGACGTCATCCGTACATATCTTTCTTACTCCGCTTGCAAGACATTCAACAATATTAAGACATAATCAACTAGTGACTTCTACACCACCCCTTGTTTATAATTTCAACCTCTTTCTTATCGTCACCCTTAATCTTATCATATCTTCATTAAAAAATCTGTCTCATTTACTTCCCTAACAATCAGTCTAGCATTACTTAATCGGTTCATTTGTTTTTACTAGCCTTTATCAACTACTTCTAGCTGAATATTTTTGTTTGTTTATTCGTGCTGTTTTCCGTTTTTTCTTGTTATTACAGATCGCCTCACTTTTTCATTTTTTTTATTGATATAACCATTATCATTATTATTATTATGACTAATTGCACAGTTTATATTCACCATCGTATTATCCTATAGGCAAAACACCACGATTTTTTTTGTAAAGTTATGTACATTAGAGTTAAGCCTGATGAGGAGATCTAATTGAAAACAATGTTGTCTACTTAAAAGGTCACATAAGTGGCACGTATTACATTACAAACAGACCACTTGTTTTATTCTTCCAAGTACTACAAACAAATACCTATAGAAGCTTTCACATTTATTTAGGCGGCTGCTTTATATTACTATTTGCATTATGAGTAGTAATTGTATTTATATATATCCAAACCAAATTCACTTTTGACGGTTTGAAAAAATTTAGGCATTGGGTATATGATATTCATTAAAATAAAGGTTTTTTTTGTATTTACCAATGAATGAAAAACATAACGATACTCTTGTTTTTACTGACGTTTCGCTATTTAATGCAACTGCTAATAGCTTTCTCAAAGTATTTTTAAACCAGAATTTACAAAATCCACTCAGTTTATATATAACAAATAGTTAAGAGGTGAGAAAATAGACAAGTTAGGTCAAGTTAAACGGACATATTTAGACTTCAAAGCATCAAACCCCATCAGCGCAGAGATTTCAGTTGCTTCAAGTCTTCTTAGACAAGCACACTCTCTGATAACGGATGAGCAAGAAAAAGAAGAAGAAATATCAAACATTACTGAAAGTTTCAAGCACGACAGCTACCCAAGGAACTTCATCAATAAAATCAACACAGACATTACGCATGGCCAAAAACGCATTCCGAAAACATGGACATCAACAATCGTCATTCCATATAGAGCAGAGACGTCAGACGATATCAGAAGAGTACTCAATCAGCTCGACATTAGAGTTTTCTTCCAAACATCAGACACACTTCAAAGCAATCTTGTCCATATAAAAAACTAAGTCCATAAAGATTCTCTATCTAATTGTGTCTATAAAATAAAATTCTTGGAATGTGATGCGGTCGGTATAAATCGGACAAACATCTCAAGAAATCAAAATCAGAAGAAATGAACACCGTAGAGCATCTCTTCGACCACCGAGAAATCCAGTTGAACCAGAAAAACTTCAAAAATCATCAGCCATAGGTCCACATGCTATAGAATCAGGCCACAAAATTGATTTTGACAATATTGAAATCATCAACCAGAGAAAGCATTTCAGAAATCACAAAGAATGTCTAATATCAGAAGCCGGCACTTCATATCAAGTGGAATCTAAATTGTCTGAATAGTCTGAATGATGGATTAAAACAGAATCTGACCTCGTTACAACACACCTTCCTCTCCCCATAAAGTGACAAAATCAACACGAATGTGATAAGCAAGTCTACTATGTTAACACAAGCTGCTTTTATAATTCTACACACTGATCAAATCCAACAATCTACATTTGATTTTGTTATCTTTACCAACTGACAAATTTAACGACGTAAAAATGACCCAGACTAACGAACGATGATTAAGTTAGTAAACTTTATTTTGATATCATAACAGATGTACTATTACAACAAGATATGT